AAAATATAATAAAATAAAATACGGATACCAAATTAAAATAACAAAAATATACTTTTAAGGATTAAATTGCAAAGTATACAATTTATAGGGATTGCGGGGTTTAGGGTTTCTCAGTATCTTCATCTTACATTCGTTCAAAGGATGTATCGGCGTCTTCAACACAAAATTTTTCATGCATGAAAAGATCTCTCGGCGTCTTCATTGAAAAAATTTCGAATCAAACTTGGATTGCTCGGCGTCTTTTGGAATTGTATTACATCAACCTCCTCCGGTGGCCGGCCATTGTGGGCCAGAAGGTGGTCAACGGGCGGCGCTTGACTAGGGTTCCGCAGCGGGAGCATTTTTGACTTTTTTTAATATAGTTAATTATTTTAATTACAAATATGATTTTTGTAATAGTTTAAGTATTTAATTTGATAAAAAAATACCTAAAAAATGGGCATAATTTTTTTTTTTTTTAGTTTAAGCCTTGTTCTAATTCTATTGTTACTAATGCTTCTGAGGGATACAAGTTAGGTGTACGGAACAAATCTATTAATTTAAATTGTATTAGTCTTTCGAAATATTATTTTATTTCATTTCTTTCTTTCTTTCTTTCTTTCTTTCTTTCTTATATGAATATATTTTCCTATAAAAAAGCATTATATTGAAAAAAATGTAATTAGCTACGAAACAAAATCTTAAGTTGCGTCTATTACCGAAAGCAGTTCAATTGTATGCCACGTGAACTAAGTGAATGTTCTGAATGTGATTTCTTATTTTTATAGATTAAATTGACCGCATAATTATTTAGTTTTTTTTATTTTTATCATTAATCTTTCTAATTTCGTCAATTAGATTATTTAATTATTTAATTATATCCAATTATGTTAATAGTTATTATATTTGACATAGATACTAACATGACAGTTAATAAAATTGACATAATTATATATTTAATCATCAATATTTATACATTATATCCATTTGAACCTAATTAAATTTAATTTAATAAATTAATAAAAAATCAAATGAGATGACGGCACGTGTTATAATTATGCATTGACATATGTCACATCCTAATTAAAGACTTAATTTATTAAATTAAGACTAAGTTGATATAATATATAATTATTGAGATGTTACTTTTATTAATTGTCAGGTCAATATCTCCATCAAATATTAAAGGTTAGTGGCTTGGTTTAATACAATAGTTAGGTGGTATGATTGATAAATTAAAAGATTAATGGTAAAAGTAAAAAGGGTAAATAAATAAGTGATCAATGGTATAGTTTAACTTTTTATATTATATTGTTTTCCTATCGTACTATGCTTATTTTGTTCTTTAATTAGAAAACATACATCAATTATTTATTATTTGTTAAATATAAAATTTAATAAAACTCTGTTTTGTGCTATGTTATGTTTTATATATTTATAAAAGTTTTCAATTTATTAATTTAAAATATATTTATTTATTTATTTATGTTTTAGTACATGTCGTGTCCTACGATGTAACATGTTGTGAGTTTCAATGTGACTCCAATTGATAAAAGGTTTTTTTGTATGTACAGTATCATGTTTTCTTTGTCTTTTATAATGTGTAAATAAATATTATAAATTGATATATTTTTATAATTTAATAATTCGGTTGATATGACTTCTGATAATTCATATATTATGTTATATTTATTTTATAATTTATGGCATGACATATTTTAATTATTTTAGATTATTCTTCTATTCATTTTATAATTGTTGATGAAAATAAATTGGGTTTATCGACAGTTGATAATTTATCATTTTCTAGTTTAAACGGAGAATTATGATTGTGAGCGAACGTCAATTGTTGGTCGGTGAGAGAATTTTGATCGTTGATCGATGTTTTTATATATATGAAAGAAGATAGATCATGAGGAAGAAAACAATAAGAAAAAGAAAATACAGAGGTGGCGTGGGTAAAAGGATTTCAGGCTTCATTTCAATCTCAATCCGGATATGTAAATGTTAGTCGTATGGCCATTATGGTTATTCGTAGACTGATCAAGCTAGAGAGATATATTGGCCAAACTTTGGATTTTGTTATGGATCATCATGTGGGCCTATCAAAGGTATTGTCTATGTATTGTAGTTGATCAGAGGCCTATGTTTAGAAGACTTAGGATTTGACGAATAGAGAAGTCTCTAGAGGTCGTTTTTGGAGGTATAACAAGTTGTCCTTTTTAATCGAGGAGAATGACATAACGTGTCTTGATCCTAGATTCATTTTAGAAAATATAGTGAACTTTCTCTTATGTAGTTTGATGTTTTCTGGTTGAGGGAAAATAGGTTGTGTCATCCGTGACGGTTTATCCTTTCTGATTTGGACATAGAGTCATGATCGGTGCATGAATGAATGTTGGCTGGTGGGATTCTTATGTTTTTGGCGTTGGTGTCTTAACGTGTATGCTTGAGTAGAGGATAATGGCATTAGGTAAGTTGAGGGAGGCCATGTTAGTTTCTTAATGTTGTGCCCTGGTAACAGATAACTTTGGAGAAGGTATTTTATCGTCAAGAAGTGGGCACGCGTGTCTGGATGTTTGTGCCAATGGAGACCAGGGCCCTTTGCTTATTGGCAACCATAGCAATGGGTGATAAATTTTGCAAAGTATATTTTTTATGAGGAGATTAGGAGGATGTTTGTGTCTAGTCGATTAGGGAGATAATATAAGCATGTCAATTCTTTTTATTAAAAATGGGTGGTAGTAGGATGGGCATGGGTCGAGTCAAATTTTTGACCTATCCGACTCTAACCCGAGAAGTGCTGCTACAAATCACTCAACCCGCCCCGATTTTGAAGAGTTCCATCCGACCTGACATCTGACCTAGAATTTAAACAAAAACCCAATCCTAACTGATCAATCCAAGAATTCCCTTATTTTCTCATCTATTCCCATCATTTGAAAAAAAAAAATCATTTTTCTTACCAAAAAAACACACGATCAAACATAAAAATAAACTGAAAATCTAGGTTGAACTATAGAAAATCTAGAAAAATTTTAAAAATAATTTCAAAAAACAAAATAATTAGCTAGAAGAAGAAATATAATTCATAAATAATACATGCACTACTTGAATCATCGTTCGGATTTCGAAATTCTCATAAAAACTTTAAAAAAAATTATTGTTGTTAGATAAGAAAGAATGTAGATGATTGTTGTTGATGATGGTAAAAAACCAAAATAAAACTCTAAAAAATGCATAGGAAATGAAGAACAATGAAAGAAACTAAAAAAGAACGATAGAAAGAAAACAAAAGAAAAAACAAAGAAAATGGGGGAGAGGGAGAGAATGGAAGATTGGTAGAAAAAGTTGTGAGGAAGTGAAATGAAACCAAAACACTAAATATTGTATATATACGATTGCATTTTTGTAAATACTTTAAATATTATTTTATAATTATATGAGTTAGGTCGGATTAGATATTTTTTATTATAAACCTGATTTCAACCTGAACCCGATATTTTCTCATATACAACCAGACATGATTCCGGCCCGAACCCGAGTATTAAAAAAAAAACTAACCCTATAGCATGGGGTCGGGTCAAAACCCGTCAGGCCCGGGTCAAATGCCCGCCCCGAGGTGGTAGTAGTATAGTTGTCCTCATTGATCCAAGAGGAGGTCATCACTATTCTTGGATGGGTCCGATTGGTCCTCAGGGACAACTTATAATTTTGTAATTATGAAGATAGCTCGACGTTTCTATAATTCGTTGGAAATATATCAACAAATGTATCTTAGCACTATTTAAAAGCCACCCATAACCGAATGAACGATAATGAGAGGCATCTCTACACCTACTGGGTTTTAACAAGAGTTTAGGGCATCTAATTTGCTGAATGGATGGAATATGTTGGCTCTTGTGTCAAAGAGGGTTTTGGTGTCTTTGCTAGGTAATTAAGTTACAGTAAGTTATGATTTGTTATAATCATAACTTTTACAAGAGGGTTTTGGAATATGTTGGCTCTTGTGTCAAAAGAGGGTTTTGGTGTCTTTACTACCTAATATGTGGTTAACTTTTATGTAACAATTTTTTTCTTTTATATTTAGATTGAATACAAATTATGGAGTAGTCACACTTGTATAGTCTATCTAATATTTGTTGACATCTTGAGTAGATTGTATAACTGAATAACTATGATATCACATATCAATTTATTAGAGCAATGCCATTCATTTTCTAGTCCTTAATCAAGTGACCCAAAATATTACTCTCATTATATAGTAGGGACAAATCCTATTTTGATCGATCATATTTCACTACATAGATTGTCACATGTCTAACAACAGTCTTTATAATGTAACTAATAATGATACATGTCACTGCAACAAAATAGGACTAGAAAATATTAGATAACAAATTATGATATTTCACTCTCATTATAGCGGTGTTTTTCTTATCAAGATCTATAGCGCGCAAATTACATTGTCTTTAGTGGTGTTTGTTTTCTAAAACGCCGCTACATATTATGATATTTAGCGACGTTTCTGGTAAAAAAACACCACTAATAACTATGTATATAGTGGTGTTTTCTTCGTAAAACACCGCAAAAGAACCTGCCTTCTGGTGACATTTATTTACTAACGCCGCAAAAGGTAGCGACGTTTGTGAACAAAAAACGTCACAAAAGATCAAGATCTATAGCGAAGCTTTTGAGAAAAACACCGCAAATTACCTTGTCTTTAGTGGCGTTTGTTATCTAAAACGCCGCTACATATTATGATATTTAGCGACATTTATGGTAAAAAGCCGCTAAAAACTATGTATATAGACTAACTTCTGGTGACATTTATTTACAAACGCCGCTATTGCTAATTGATTTCACATATATCATTTTCTATTTTATATTACACATTTAATATTCTATAACATTATCTAATAACAATAAACTTAAAATTTAATTACGACACAAATTATTTAAAAAAACAAATCAAAATTTATAAAATAAAATTAAAATGTAACATAGTTCAACATTATTCACTAGAATTTAGTCTATGTTCTTTCTCTTTCAATAAAAAAACATTGTATCGATCTGCAACTTTAGTTGATTTTTTTCATCAGGAATGTACCTTCAATTCAAACAACAATGAAAACAATGGATTCAGAGACAATATATTACAAAGAAGATAAACTAGAAGAAAAACAATTGGCACAGTTAGACTAGGTTTAGATGCAAACTTACAATATGCACTCATCAAGTCGTTTAAGAAGCGAGAGAAAGTTTGTGTTTCCAAGATTCATTTTTGGAAAGTAAAAGTTAGAAGTAATTTGCACAGAAGAGGTAAAATTAGACAAATCATGTATTGCAGAAGTACCACACCAACAACAATTCATCAATACACTTAAACTGGAACATAAATCCAAGGATAATAGGATAAAAAGCAAAGGCAAGGAAGTAACACATAAACTGATGTCTAGTTAAGATAGCATTCAAACCTTACATTCTCCAACTCATCAAAATACTTGAGCTTACTGCGAAGTGCTTCAGTAAACTCAATCAACCTTTGCTTCTCCATTACCTGCAATTAGAACGTGCTAGCAAGGCAATCAATCAACCTTAAAATATATTTCACCTAAAAAATAAGTGGATTATAGGCATTAAGCATAAAGTCGAAGTCAAGAAGTCGGAAACAAGAAGATGAAATTAGATCCTAAGTCATCCAAACGAAAACCATACCAATCGATCACATGCATCATGAAGAGTTTTAGTTTTTGTTTCTACAGCTTGGTGTTGCAGTTGTAGTTCATTAAATAGGTTCAATGTCTCATGATCTCATCCACCTGCACAGAAACACTTGCAAGCTTTAAAATCTTGCAAAAAATACGGATATAACCTAATAAAATAGCTAGAAAAGGAAATGAGAATACATGGAGATGTAAAACATGAAGAACGTACTTGTTGAAGTATATCATCACAAGTCAGTATATGGTCTACCAGAGTATCAACATAATGTTGATACATCTCCTCTGTCTGAAGGAAGAGAAACGACGAAAGTCAATAAACAAACATCCAACAAAAATTACTTCATGTTTTAATTTGGACCAGAAGCTTTTGTTTGTTATAAGCTAGTTATGAGCCATGGTAGTTATATATCTATCAAGGTAGATAAAATCTTACTGAAGTTCAAACTACAGAATATAATTCATTGCAATGAATCTCTCCTCTCCTAATCTTGTTTATATATATATATATACACACACACATGATTTCTTTGTTCCTTTGAACTCTCTCATCCCCTTGCCCAAGTCATAGTTGTTACCTGTAACACAGGTTACCATGAGAAGTTATGGTTAAAATGTATTGAGCTTTAGCCTTGAAGGCAATAAAACCTCTTTATGCTATAATTAATTATAATCTCAAAGTAAATTTGAGTATTCATTTTTTATATAAATATGAAGTGAATGTAAGAAAATACCCGATGTTCGAACTTAAGACTTTAAGAAATAATAACAAGTCTCTTAATTAATTATGTCGCATGATTTGTGCTTAGAGTTAAAAAGTTACAGTAGAAAATAAATTCACGTTTTTTTTACTCCCGTTATTTTTTTAATCAATATATCCTCTACGTTGGTTGGCAGTCTAAGAAGATTAATCCTTGTAAATTAAAACAAAAATTATAAACTTGATAATTTAGCTTGTTGGCATATCATCCCAAAATTTCTCTTTGTTTTATACATTGCAAGATTTCATCAGAAAAGTCGGAAAAAGCCAAATAATAAAGCTAACTGAAATGGCATAATATAATATTTTTGCAAGAGGTTCTTTGGTGGTGTAGATATTTGTCTTTGGTCAATACAAACAAAAATGGTGCACCCAAAGAAAACGAAACAAAACAACAGCAATGAACAAAGTCACAAAATATGGCCTCATCCATACTCCATTATATTATTGTTTCAAGGAATGCAGATTCAACGGGTTCTGGTCATATTATCAGCATGTTCTGTTAGGCGGGTTAACCCAACCCAATGAAAAATTTAAGTTGGAATGTTTATAGCTTAGGAAAACTATGAAGAATGATTATTACTTGGGAATGTTTTCATAAGCCATAAGCCTCTGAAATAATCCGTTTTGGGTATTTTGAAATCTGGGTTTTGTTTTTCAGATGTTCATCTTATAGTGATGGTATTCATGCTTCCTAGGTTTTATCCATTCGCATAAATCTACTTAATAAGTGAAAGAAGGAAATGGAACTGATTAAACACTATTGGAACAGTAAAAATGGAAGAAAAATCAAATCTAATCGTACAAAAGTAGTTAGAAATCAATCTAAGAGCCTAGAGAAACAGTAATTACCAGTGCCTCCATCACCGACGATGACGAGATTGAAGCTAGGATAATCAACAGTCTGTTGATTCGGCAAACCCTAAACCACAAAGAATCAAGAAAATAAATATCAAAAAGAAAATGAAAACTATAGATTACCATTCAGATTTCAAAACAAAATAAAAAATATATATCAAAGATAAAGGGCGAGGGATTCACCATCGGTAACGAAACTCGAACAAACGAAATCTAGCGTTTGAGGAAATCAGAGAGAAAAGGAGAGGAGGGAAACGCAGTGATTTGGGGGAGACGGCTATAGCAAGGGTTTTATAAGAGGGCCTTTTCAGGGTTAGGCCCCCTGGCTCTAAATTGACGCGAATCTCTCCGCCGTTAGATTAGATTACTCCCACCTCTTACCTCCCCTCTTCTATAAATCTTGACCGTTCGATTGTTTTTCACCTGGGTCCACTTATTATCGTGTGAACAGAAAATAATGATGTTTTTGGAAATCTTTTTCTTTTGAATTCGTAATCTTCCAGTATCTGCCAGCTCAAGCTTAATTTCAAAGCAGTTAAAAAAAAAGAGCTTAATTTCAAAGCAAATGGCAATCCTTTTTTGGGTTATTGTTTTTATTTTGAAACAAAAGGAAAAGCAAGAATCTTGTAGGAATTTATTTCAGTGTGAATGTGTGATACGAAAGGAAACTCTCTTCCGAAGATCGAAGGGAATGTTAACCCAACCCAATGAAAATTAGCAGTCGAAGAGATTTCCTAGGCGTTTTAAAAAAATGAAAAAGGGTTAAAGGGGAAAATGCAAACTTGTGACGTTTGTAAACACAAACGCCACTAAAGTATGAGTTTTTAGCGGCGTTTGTAAATAAAAACACCACTAAAGTACGAGTCTTTAACTGCGTTTGTAAACACAAACGCCACTAAAGTACGAGTTTTTAGCGGCGTTGGTAAATAAAAATGCTACTAAAGTACGAGTCTTTAGTGGCGTTTGTATAAAAATGCCACTAAAGTACGAGTCTATAGCGGCGTTACAAACGCCGCTAAAGTACTACTCTATTGCGGAGTTTGTTGAAAAAAGGCCACTATAGATGAACCTACTGCGGCATTTGTTTAAAAACACCACTAAAGTACTACTTTGTTGCGGCGTTTATTAAAAAACACCACTATAGATGACCCTCTTGCGGCGTTTGTAAAAAAACGCCGCTAAAGTACTATTCTATTGCGACGTTTGTTAAAAAACACCACATAGATGACCCTATTGTTGCTTTTATATAAAACGCTACTAAAGTTGTCATTTTGTAGCGTTTGGAATGTAAACGTCGCTATATGTTTAAAGTTAGTGGTGTTTTCTCTCAAAACGGCGTTGTAGAACAATTTTACTGTAGTGTGTCTGACTGTATCAAAATATGAAACTCACAATGGTAGGATAATGATGGTCTTGATTCTAGGATCATACATATAGTTATCACAATGAATAATGTTGTGATTGTTACATAATAATTTAATAAATCATACTCGTAGAGGACTAATCTAATATGTCATTATTGTTATTCAAACTCACAATAATACTTGATTAAGAACCTTTAAAAATAATCATATTATTCTCGTGAATTTATTATAATTAAATTTATTTATATACACATAATAATAATTGAAAAATACAAATAATACCTAATAACTAAAGTAAAAACATATATGTCATTATAATTATTTCATTGATTAATTTATGGATATATTTTTACATGTATAGACGAATAACAATTTTATATTTTGACGAGTATTTCAAGAATCTAACTTTTTTTTAACTACCATCAAATGATTTCGACATATATAACTATAAATTTAACTTAAATGTAGAAAGTAGATCTATTCTATTGATGGTAAATGATGATCAACGTTCATAGGAAGTCATGAACCGCTTTGGTTACCCATTCAAATGAAGCATCTCAGCTTGAAATAAGAAATCAAATCAATCTTTGGTAAGGCAAAGAAAAAAAATCAATTAATCAACAGTAATAGTGGACTTCATATTTAAGTGAATAATTACGTGTATAAATCTTGCAGATATAACTATTCAAATTTAAAATTTCTAGATAGAATATCATTCTTGTTTTTACCTATGAGATCGTTTGAGATAAATTTAACTGTGAATGATATGATGAAGTGAGAGCGCCCCCATGCAATCAAAGAAGTGAGAGAAACAACGTAATGTGATGGAACACAGCAACCCCACAAGGGAATGATCGTCTGCTAAATCGATTATGAATGGCCAATCTGCTTGTTTTTGGTGCATCATAATGAGAAAAAAAAGGAAGTGATTACAGTGAGTTTATCCCACAGGCAAATACTGGGAATGGGCCTTGCCACGTAATGTGGGGAAAAGGAAGTGTAGAGATGGTACAACAAGGAAGATTGCCAGATCTCTTTGATCATCAATAATTTAAAAGCAAAGAGACCCATCATTTTTGAAAAGGATAACACGTCACTTACCATTTCAGATTGTACACTCTGACCCTAGCTGCTGTCTTCTCTGCGACACCTCACCTGATTTCATCTCCCTCCCTGTACTCTATACTTCTTTTATACCCTTTTATTCTGCTGTGCTAGCCAAGGATTTATGCTGTTGTAATCGTATTTTCGGTTGCGTTACGTTTATCGTAATTACAGACATAACGGATGTTATTACGATAATTATGAATATCATGATCGTACAATAACTATATTGCAAAATAGTGAAAAATAGTGTTATAGTATTACAATCTAAAAAAAATTCGTTTCAATAATAAAGTTAAAAAAATGTGAAATTAAAATAGAACCTGTAATCTGATGAAATTGAATATGTAGAAGAAAAGTTTTGTTGAGGTCTGAATGAACAGTTTCCTTAAGACATATTCGTCTTCTCCTCGGTGCTTTGAGTAATGTTGGACATCGGTCTCCCAGGATACAACAACAAACGTTCACAACAGTAAGCACAACAGGAGTGAACAATCGAACACAATCTTTGTCTTTATCTAACATCGAAAAATGACTTTTGAAGAATCGAAGAATTGAAAGGAAAGTACTTGAAAGAAAATAGTAAAAGTTGTGTGTTGAAATGTGTCACAACTTAGCCTTTATATAGGGAGAGGATTGAAAGGTTAAGACCTTTATTGAAAGGTTAAGACCTTTATTGAAAGGTTAAGACAAGACCTTTAGAGTGAAACGAAATAACTATTTTCATGAAAAGACTTAATTATTTTTCATGAATAGTCATGATTCAATCAATTCATTTATATTTTTCCTACAATCCCCCACATGAATGAATTTGATTGTTTAAAACATTGACTCGATGTGGTGATAGATTCTACGTTCGATATTTGCATAGGATAGGTAGGCGTCCCCCTTTGAACCTTCCCTTGTGAAAATATGTTTACCTTACTGGCTGTCCAGTAGACGTGATGTCCTTGAATTGTCCTACCGTTTGTGTAAGCGATGACATACCTCACACAAATATCTTACTGACAAGAGTTTGGTTCTCATGGTTATGTCCATATAGCCGTGGACATCTCCTGGTTTTGTAAGAGCTTAGAGAACTATGCCCCAATAGTCTCTTTGAAGCGGCTCCACTTCACTCTCACATAGGTGACTTATGTTGTTCGGTTCAATGAAACACATATTGGTCATTAAAATCATTGCTTAACCTTATCCACATTTTAGTCACTGTTTTAATCATAGGAATGAGCTTGGGGATAAAACCCCCACAGTGACCTCACCAGGTCTATGCAAGTAGGATGTCCCATTGAACCTAGATCTTGGGATCTCCAGTCAACTAGGTTGGGTTTTCCTTCACATAGAGCCTTAACAATTCATGGGCTTTAGTCCTATTCCTCTTGATGTTTTATCAACTTGATCTCGATTCAACCCTTTGGTTAGCAGATCCGCAATGTTATCTTTTGATCTTACAAAATCAATAGAAATAACTCCAGTTGAGATCAGTTGTGTAATGGTATTGTGTCGATGTCGCATGTATCTCGACTTACCATTATACATTACATTTTGTGCTCTACCAATTGTTGCTTGGTTATCACAATATATACATATTTTGGGTACAGGCTTTGGCCATTCAAGAATATCCTCCAAAAAATTTCGTTACCATTCTGCCTCTTCTCCAGTTTTGTCCAAGGCTACAAACTCATATTCCATCGTGGATCTGGTTATAATTGTTTGTCTTGAGGATTTCCATGACACAGCTCCTCCCAATGTGAAAATATAACCACTTGTGCCTTTGGTATCTTGAATATCAGATATCCAACTGGCATCAGAGAATCCTTCTAACACACCAGGATCTCTAGAATAATGCAATCCATAGTTTCGAGTATATCTAAGATATCTCAATACCCTTACAATTGCTTTCCAGTGTTTCTCCCCTGGATTGCTTGTAAATCTGCTTAAACTGCTTACAGTGAAAGAAATATCAGGTCTAGTGCAACTCATAAGGTACATTAGACTGCCTATGATCCTTGCATATTCCACTTGATTAACACTTTCACCTTTATTTTTAGATAGATGTTGACTTGTATCTACCGGAGTTTTGGCTACACCAGAATCATCCTTGCCAAAATTTTCAAGAATCTTGTCTACATAGTGTGACTGAGTCAATATGAGACCTTCAGATGACCTTTTGATTTGGATGCCCAAAATCATGTCAGCAAGTCCCATGTATTTCATGTCAAATTTTGAATTTAACATATTTTTGGTACGTTTTATCATTTCATTGTTACTTCCAATAATGCGAATATCGTCAACATAGAGGCATAGGATTGCATATCCATCAACAATGATTTTGACATACACACATTTGTCACACTCATTTATTTTAAATCCATTTGATATCATAACACTATCAAATTTTGTATGACATTGCTTTGATGCTTACTTAAGTCCATATAATGACTTTACCAACTTACATACTTTCTTTTCTTATCCTGGAGCTACATAACCCTCAGGTTGTTCTATGTAAATTTCCTCATCAAGGTCTCCATTAAGAAAAGTTGTCTTAACATCCATTTGATGTACTTCTAAATTCCGTAAAGCGGCAATTGCAAGTATCATTCTTATAGAAGTTATTCTTGATACGGGTGAATATGTATCAAAGTAATCAAGACCTTCCTTTTGTCGGTACCCTTTAATAACCAATCTGGCCTTGTACTTATCAATTGTTCCATCTGCTTTCATTTTTCATTTGAAAATCCATTTAGAATTTAATGGTTTAATTCCATGAAGAAGATCCATTACTTCCCACGTATGATTTTGCATGATTGAATCAATTTCACTTTTGATGGCATCTTTCCAAAAATTACTTTGAGATGAATGTATAGCTTCGCTATAAGTTACAGGTTCAGTCTCTAGCATATAGGTTAGAAA